GTTCGTCTATGATATGATCTAACCACTCTTGAACATCATCTTCAGAAACCTACAAGTGAACAATTATTTTTTGTTAATTTCGAGTCTTTGTTTTCGGTTCACTCCTTATTTCTACGACTTCTGAGTTACTCGAAAATTGTGCTCACAAAGTGTGCACCAGTGAATAAATAATAATTTGAATTCTTCAACTAGTAAGAAATCAGTCGCGTAATCTTTAATATATTTTGATTCTTGAGTGTTTTAGTATGTCTATGTAAATTTATAAAAAGAATATAATTAGATTTTAGTGTTTTAGGTATTTTTTACCAAGATAATTTTATGAGAACAGCGATTCATACGCATGAACAAAGATTATCGCGATAGTCATCTATACTTTAGCACATATTTCCGTATATTCTTGAAAGAACTATTTTTGATACAATTTCAGGATTTTTATGCATATTATGAACCAGCTTATTTTTATATAAGCTAATTATTATAATAATTAATACTACCTGTATCGTCAATATTATTTGGCTGATTTTGTTGTGACACGGATAGAAGAGATTTGTAGCAGTTATGATGGTATGCTACTAATTTCGATATGATATTGTAATGACATTGATAAATCTTATGTTTGATATTAGATATTATTTTTACAAGGTAATTTTTATTATCTAATGTTAACTAATATGGTTTTAACATTACATGGTAATAGCTAACATACCATCTTCACTACTACAAATCTCTTCTATCAATCAATGTATTTCTGAATTTTTTTCATAATTTGAATTCTCGTTTTATTTAATTTAGGTTTCATGAGATTTCTTCTATTCTTCAGTTTTTGAATAATATATAGCGAAGACATGATTGTATGGTCAATGGAAATCCTAAAGTCGATTTATTGAATGGTTTTACTGTTTCAGATGATATTAAATAAAAATTTGAAAAAAAATTGTCCTTAAAAAAGTCCAACCTACAAAAGTAGTGTTCTAAAAAGTATAGAATTTCAGTAGTTGTAAACATAAGGTAATAATAATTTACATTTAATAATCGAAATATATCAAAAAAATTAATGACTTTTACCTTATTAGTTGAAATATTGAATTTATTATCTAATCATCGGCGTGCAATATATTCTACTTAACATGAATATGTCTTTTGATTAAAATCAATGAAACCCTAATTCTTTTAGTTAATTGAATCAACGACAATGAAAGAAAGAAACAAATACGTACTGAACAAAGTACTGAACCAAAAAGACCGAGTAAAATTATCGAAGTATGTTTAAAATTCATACTTTCACTTTCAAATAACTTCTATAAAAATTCTGATAAACAGTGTCACATAAAGCTTTATATATTGAAAAAAAATGTAATCTATTATTTGATCTGGTGATATCATTCTCGATTAATTTTTTTTTTCATCCAACTATTGTTATATCGTTATGATTAGCTTATTATAATTATAAATAAAAGAATGAAGTAACCACTTCACATGGACAGGAAATTAAAAAAAATGATCTATCTTACACAGAGCAAAAATTCTTGGAATTTTTATATTAATTTTCTTGGAAAAATTCCCATGCTCCCTGTTAATCTGAGTGCAACTTATCGGCTGAGTAAAAAATATATTATTATAATAATATATGAAATAAAAATAATTATACGCTAATTTCATTGACGCACGATGAAAAATGTATTGTCAAAGTTACTATACAGTATGGTCATTTTCTTAATTAGTGTAGTAATCTTTCCTATCGTACTCAAATGTCACCAAATTACCATCAAATTTGTGGTAATATCTACAATACTTTTATAGGAAAATGCTTTTTTTCGTATAATGTGGAATATTATTAAATATTTATTACAGAGAGAATTTATGTAATTTTACTTATGAAATAAATGTGAAAAAGTATTAATTACACCGGAAATTAGAAGTGATGAAAAAAGGTTGTGAATACGTCTTTGTTAGAATTAAAACCATGACTATTTACCGTTTGCAGTGATTTTTGCTACTCTCGAAAATTCACGAATTAATTTAAATTATTTAGAAAATGCTTATTGCTATCCTATATTTAATATAAGTTCGATTGCTTGAAGTTTGTGTTACGCTAAATCAATTAATTTGTAATTTAAACACATCATTTCTACAACAGCACTGCAAATTCCACTCATTCACAAACGTATTACAATAACACACATAATTTGTGTTCAATGTAAAATGTCCATAAACAAACTATACATGATTCGTAAACAGTTTTACACGTTTCATAGTGTGTTAAAATCTATAATTTGTTTACGACATCTAACATTGAAGAGGCCTAGGGTGTTAAAAGTGTCTACAAGAATTACACACTTGGATTTGCAGTGAATTATAAATAAAATTATTTGCAATGAAAATCATATTGATAATTCATATTCAGTATATATCATATAGTTTATAAACATAAAATTTCACTAATAATGTTTCTCCTTGAAAGTTGTGAGGAGCTCATTCTTTTTCTTCGATAAAAATTCTCTTTTAAATATATTTTATCACATACAAAAACATCAGATATATCTGACTATTCGTCGACACTTATGATTCAAGATATATCAAATTGCGTAGTCATACGTGAAGACACTGGAAAGATATTCAAGTATCATAAGGTATCATACATTTCTCTAGATTCCTTTTGAATCCTAGTCTATTCTACCACATTCAGATATTTCTGTCTAAGTTATCTCTTCTCTTTCGGTCTCATGAAATTCTCGCATGATCGGCACTCATGCACTGGGGTGTCTTGAAAGGACACCGGATGTGCTGCAGCTACTGAAGTTCACGATCTCTCACTTCTCTTCCTCAATTTCTTGCTTGCTCTACCTCGTACCAATATATACCTTGCAAATTTCCACTTGATATTCTCTCTGCGAGTGTTCTGCTGTGATTTCTCGAAGCAGAATGAACCCCTTGACATTTTGAATCAAAGAACAATTTACTTTGGCATTTCTCTGTATATTTCATTCTGTTTAACTTGTTTCGATTGTTGAATTAATTTATTTTTTATGTGTAAGAATACTGTAAATTTTAGGTAGAAATTGATTCTTGATGTACGAAAATTCTTTAAAAAATCATTAACGGGTAAAGTTTGAACACATCTGAACATTTGATACCAGTTACAATATTTATAGTTCAAAGTTAGTTGAATAGTTGGTTTGGATAGGTTGGTTAGTTCAACAGTAGTCTTGCACTGAGAGGAAACGTTTTGCTTTAGCACACCTGGATGCATGTCTTGGTCGAAGTTGGATTTTTGGTTATTGAAATAATACGTGGAAGAGGGAATTGGTTATTTAGAAACTAAGATATAATACTCTAAATTTGTTGATTAAATATGAGGTGTACCATTTATTAAGAAAAGTGCACGAATAAATTGAAAGATTGATAAACAAAAAGCGCCATAAGCATTTTCGAAATTATTTCAATAACTTAGGAAACTTTCTCGAGTGTTTCACTTTGCCCTTCCTTCCCCAATATAGTTTTACAGCTTTGACTGTGAAAAATGCATGAAAGAATTAACATTTACACATTTTCTGTTGTATGAGTAATAATTGTATGATCATTATAACTTGTTAAAACGTTTTTATTTTATTTCGAATATATTTGATAGAATTTGATGCTAAAAAATGACAAAATACTAAAATCGATATTTAAAAATTCAGTACGATAACGAAAATATTTAGCAAAAAAAAAATCTAATTGAAAAAAGTTACTTTTTTTAGTAATAAAATTAATTTGATTGACAATAAATTGAATATCTTTTTTACTCAATGACCTGACGGAAATGTTGAACGGATTTTTCCTCATTGAAAATTATTATTGAATGTTCTGGATAAATTTTCTTTTCAAAGAAACACTAATAAATAAATCCCGGGCTAAAAAATTTAGTCCGCTTTAAGTTTTCTTACCAAAGAAAATTCAATCTGTTTTTAGTTAAAGTCATTAATAGTTAAACTAAAAATAGACTTAATATTTTTATTTAAAAAAAAAAACTTGAGAAGGGATCACTCATTCAAGTACCAAATACAGTCTAAGTTCTTCGACTTTGTTTCTGCTTGATAACTACTGTAACATTACAGTACTAACACGGAAAGAATTTCTTCACTAACTGTAAGTGCAAAAATGACAAGTGTACATTTCGAAATTTAGAAGTAAAAATATTTCTAACTAGCCGTAAATTTTGAGTTCTTGTAAGTAGACTTGATATTTAAGAGGTGTCTTAGTATAATAATTACTTATGACAACCCTAAATTCACTGTTGGATAAAAATATTTTCACTTCTAAATGTCGAAATGTACACTTGTCATTTTTGCACTTACATTTAGTGAAAAAATTTTCACCGTGTAACTACAGTTACTTTATAATAATTAATTGGTGACAATCACAGAAAAATAATGAATATTTTCATTTTAACGATTAATAATTACTATGTTACAGTGATGTTTAATAATTTTCTTTTCAGAGGGTAGGCTATTACTAAAAGAATTTAATTATTAATTTAAATATAAATTAATGATTTATCGATTTTATTGACAGCCTATCAACTACCCTATAGCAACTCATAAATAATCATTTAAAACTGTCAAAAATATCGAAATTTCTTAATTAGAATTGAATATTTTAAAACTTGTTTAATATTCCCTAGCAGCCAGTCCTGACGTCAGAATTTTGGTCAGACTTATGTACGTTTGTTTCCAGTCTGCATCAGATTGTAATTGTACGTCTGTTTTAGAAAAATGGCAGATACATAATAAAAAAAATGATAAATTTAGGCCAACATACGTAAATCTTCTGTCAGTCTTACGTTGATTTGACTACTAGGGTTATTGCAAAAAAAATGATCAAAGTTTGAATTCTAATTTGCTTTGAATGCTATGATATGAAGACTTGAGACAGAGAAGAGTAGACGACAATAAATAAAATAATATTAATAGACCAAAAAAAGATCTAAATGCTCAAGAATAACATAATTTTCTTTCTAGGTCTCGAAGCTGAATTATTTTACGTAAGAGAGGGCGTTCCAAACACTTATGCCATGACTTTCGTCGTCCCAGTGCCAGCAAACATAGCTGATCTTGAATTTTCTTGGCAAAGCACAGCAGGAGTTCCCGTAAGTTTAATTATAGTCTTTATTGTTACTAGTAATTTGATAACATTGATAGTTCTACCACGATGTATTATAAATAATTATGAGAGGAGATCAATTTCATGACTTGAAAAGTGTTAGGAAAATCTCTGGACCATTAACACGAGACACGCGTCCATGTAAAAGAAAGTAAACATGTGACTAACACGTATATACCAATCGTTGTAGGTGTATGTATAAACGGGATGAAGATCTCGTTTATTCGTGTTAAGGGGCGTATGCACGAGTGCTCTCAAGGGGAGTAGGTTTCGGTTGATTGCACTTTTCGGAACTACATAATCGGCTATGAGACTCAATATTTTATTCACAACATAATATAAACCGTTATAGAGTACCGTAGAAAGCCAATTAAATATTTATCGAAATGATTCATTAAGGATAAGAGAAAAATATTTTTCGTAAGAGAATTAAATTCTTCTCTTCAGTACAAGAGCGTTTTTTTTTCTTTTTTAACAAGTTCTTATTTAAAAAATTTAATTAAACTATGCTTTTTTATTTTGACCTTCAAATTCATTCAATCGACCTTTTTTATGTTCACACTTTGTTTCTGTAAAAACTAATAAAACCATTTTAAACTAGGCTTGTTAAAAATAAATTGTTTGTTTTTTCTTTATTTATGAAAGGTTTTATTAAATTAAAAATTTTATAAAGAGTGCTTGTTACTAATATTGTTTTCGTTTTGTACAGTTTCTTCTGTTCTCATTGTTTTTTTTTTTTACTTTTTACAAACATTATTTATACTTACTGTTTATTAAGTGAATTGGTAATAAGACCATATATATACTAAGAGAAATATGTAGTTGCATTTATTATTAAAAGTTCGAAAATGACTAAACTGTTTTCTGCCAAATAAGAAATCAACACAGGATTGTACATCTAACTGTGAAACTCAATTATAAATTTTTAGAGAATAGATTTCGTGGATAAATCAAAGCTCATGAATAAATATTTTTAAAATTGTTTCGTTATTGATGAAAGTTTAGGGCTTAAAATCCAATTCGTATATCAATCATAATCGTATTGTATGCAAATAAATCAATGTGAAGAAATATAGTTATCTAAAAATATTCATGGAATGAAAATCCCAATAGGATAAATACCAATAATAATGACTGATACAATAACCTACCGGATAGATATAATTGAGATTACAGTTCAAAAATAGATGAATAATAATTTTTTTTCATTTTTACCTCTGTATACATAATAATAATTATATTTATACGAATTAAGCATATATTATATATACACCGAGACAAGGATTTATTTAAATTTAACATGTCATGTTTATAGTTAAAATTCTATATTAACTATTAGTAAATCTAACTTTAATTAAACATTATTTTTTTCAGTGTAAATAAAAAAGTGCTGAAATTAAAAAATTTCAAAATCTTTTTTCAATATTGTCCTAGATGGCTACGATATCATTAATAAACAGATGAAGAATTTTAGATTATAATATCTATTCTTTCGTGAGAGATTGAAAATGGCTTATGAAATCAAATGAATGAATTATTTATGTTTTGATATTTTTAAATTTAAAAGATCTTCTTTCACAAATAGTAACAAAATGAAACATCAGTTTGATAATTGAAAAAAAAAATCGATTCATCGACTATTATCAAACCTTCTCAGCATATTCATTATTTAAAACTTACTCCTCCGAGCACAATATTTCTCACAGTTAAAAGTAAATTCATCTTTAGTAACTGAATCTTTAATAGATTTGTGAGATAAACAATCATACAAAATCACAACACCCCATTGAAGAGCTGAGATCAGAGAGCGAGGGTGAGGATGAGGGTGTGACGGAGAGAGAAAAAGTTCTTTTAGAGCCCATTAACAGAGACGAGTGTAACAATGCGAAACAAAATAAACACGTGACTATGACAATAGTAACAGAAGCTCGTATTTGTTCGAAATGGGTCGTTGGTGAGACGTCGAGGGTGAAGGCCAGTCAGGGGTTGCAGCCGCGATAGGGTGAGATCCCAGTGGTTTTCGAGACCTGTCGGTCGACTCGGAACCAAGGGGAGTATCAATACTCTATCAATATGAAATACAAACAACCGTGTGGCACGGTGGTTGAGTTTGTCCTTTCTCTGTATATACGGTCGTCAAGGAAACCGAACGTTCAACCAACGCTAAAGAGAAACGGCTAGAGGTGATCCTTTTCCACTTTATTCCCACGTCAATCTGTTTTCTTTCTCAGCAACGCAAATGGGAAACTCGTTTTTCCTTCGCCCTCAATCAAACGTTAAACGACAAGGAAATTGACGCTCTGCTACATCGTGGTATACGACAAGCCTAGCCCTTTAGTATAAAAGGGAGCAAAAGTTCCTTGCGATGATAGAGTGAAGGTCGCGGTAACAAGAAAAATCGAATCTGTGAGAGGGTCAGTCAAACCGGATAATAATTGAAATATATTTTCTTGAAAATATCATGAAAATATTTCAATGGTCAATGATATTATTCTTATCATGAAAATAGAAAAAAGTTAGTTTTTCATTTAAAACAAAAATGGATTCATTTGATTCGTCTAAAAGGATCAATAATGATTAAAAATAAAATAATACTGCCAAATGGAAACTTAATACTTGATACAAATTATTCTACAAACGAAATAAGTAACTCGGCATTTATCATAAAGTTCATTTAAACTTCTTTTATGTGAATAACATGTCTACAAAAAAAATAAAAAGTAAAATAGCCGGAGAATAAAAACTGATCAATAAGTTGATTATTTTTCGTATTCAGATTTGACTAAACCAGAATTTGGTTGTGTAATTGTATCAGGGAAACACTTGAATATAATTCAATAAAAAAAGTATTTCTGTAATACTGAAAGTAAATTCAATGAAATTACGATAAAATTACAATAAAATAACAAATAAAATTGCGCGATTTGACTCTAAATAAATTTGAATAGAGTATTCAATATTTCATACATATCGGTTACTTTTAAATTTTACTAAACCAGTCAATAAATTGCACAAATTGTTCGACCCTGCTACAAATGATAATCTTCTTTTCTCTCTAAATATGGATTTGATTTTTTTCATCCTTTTATCCAGATATTTTTTAATTTTAAAATATTGAAAGCTCAATTTTGAACACTAGTGAAATTTTATTCAATTATTTTTTATTTTTTTCGATAACGTGTGATTCAAATAAATGTACATTATCGCATATAAATATTTTATATCTTTCTTCTCATTTATCTCAATTAGATATAATTGTTTGGTTATAATTCTATAGAATTATGTTATTATGATAATAATTTAAAGTGTAATGAAACATAAATAATTAGGCTAGATTAAAAAAAATTTTTCTTCCTATTTATTACAATTATTATTCTTTCAATGTAAAGTCTATACAGTTTTGTTGAAATTCACAATAATGTATTTTTATCGCACATTTTCAGAAGTTATTAATAAAATATTACAAGCAATGATCTAACATCTCAATCTACTTGAATTAGGAAAAGTTAGTACCTTTTATAAGTAAGATTATTAATTATAATTCAATATATATTTCAAAACAAGAATTGACGATACTGTAGTTGTATTGTAGTTTTTAACCAGGGCTTCGTATCAAATACAGTAATCTAACACACCCTATCAAACTCGATATCATGAATGGATTGATATTATATTCAATATTCGATATCATATTGACGTAATAAATAGTTTTATTAATTTTTTTTTTAATTTAAATTTTGCTACATTTTACAATATGTATACAGAGCGTGCTATGGTTAAAAAATTTCCAACTCTTTGTCGATAATTTTATGAATTCTATTTTTCTTCAAATTTTTTTTTTGCATTTTATAAAAATATTTATTTTGTTCGATGTTTACAACATAACTCTATGTTTTGTGCATTTCAATCACATACTGAGATTATCATGTGAAAAATATTCTTACAAACAATAGAAATGAGTGAGAGATATTCTTGGATTGTGCGTTATACCTAGCTTTTTGTTACAAGAGATAAACATGTGATTGGTTAATTCTTGATAAATATGACCAACAACGTGTTAGCAGTCAGCGATAAGCCGCCGGACGTCACACAAATTAAGAAAGTAATCTCTACGTCTTTTATTATTAAAAAAAGAAAAACTTTATTCAATAAAATGACAATCACAAGATGTAATCAGAATTCGTGGGAAATCGGTTATGTTATAAGAATTAAACAAATTAAATATTCTTTTGGAATATAGAAAGATGGTTAACAGAAGAAATAAAATCAAAAAACGATGAGAAAGTAAACAGAACATGATGGTACTCCATTATGTCCTAACATTTTGCATCTTAGGTTGGTATGTTACACTTGACGACACCTAGATTTATGGTGTATAACCTTTGAGGAAGTTAATAAGTACTTTCAACAGTAATGCAAATAAAAGTTCTATTCCCAGTTGGAGTAAAGTGTTTCATGCATCGAAGAAAATACACCATACGTCTTTAGTGAACCATGAACGAATCTAAAATATTTTGCTTGAACAAATTCCCGGATTACTCTAATTTCCAAGCACTACTGTAGAATTTCGATCAGATAGCATATCCGTACGTGATATAGAGTATAGAGTTCAGCTGAAATAGAAGGGTTAAAATGGCAATTGCAACCTCTCATACGTAGCGTCTACAAAGACGTTGGAATCCGAGTCGAATGTTTATCCTGTCCTTATGCTGCACCAGCAAATCTGGCATAGACTTGTCTCTTTCTTCCGTCTCTCTGCACTCTCTATCCTTTGGGTAGCTTCATCGCAAAGAGCATTTTCCATCCCGTTATCTGCGGGATTTCTCGTTCCAACTGAGTTCGTTAGTCTGGACGAGAGAAATGTTCAGAACTAAAATCCCGAACCACAACTCTGCCTCTCGATGGTAATCTCCGAGTCACTCGCGCTTTTTTTCCAATTCGTCCGCGACGAGATGGAAGAGTTGCTAGAATATAGTAAAAAGAATT